TTATTTTTTTTTTATTTTTTCCTAAGATGCTCCTTATTTCCATGCAGTACATACCAAATGGAAGCTCAGAGATGGAGCTAGTCACCTCCTAACCAGGCTCGCTACCCCCAGACAGTCCATAGTCAGGCCTCTTTCTCAATTTAGAAATGTTTCTAAAAGAACTATTTTAAATTGCCTATGTACTTTCTGTTTGAGAATATTCAGTGGCTCCTCTTAGCCCACAGGGTAAGGCATTTGAATGTAAAACAAACAAACAAACTCCCGCCTAATTTTACAAGCTGAAAGACAACATAATAATAAAGGTAGAGTACTCATCTCAGCCTTCTTGACTTTCTGAGTGTCATCCCTGTGGTTGGAAAGTGTTAGGTTTTTTGGTGGTGCAGTAAAGAGATGGGAAAGGTAAAAGAGGTCTATTCCCTATTGGAGAGATTATTTTTTTTGCGGTACCTCGGATTGAACTCAGTGCCCTGCACTTGCCAGGCAAGCACTTACTCTACTGAGCTATCTCCTGGCCCAAAAGAGGCCTTTGTTGACTTTAAATGACACAGAGGATCCGAGGGAAAATGGGAGGGGCAGGTTTCTTTGTCTCTGACCTGAGACAAAGAAAGCTGAGACTGTCATGGACTTTTGCTGGGGGTGGAGTTTGAGGGGCAGGTTTAGTGACACCTAAGGAGCTGATTGGGGTCTCCCTTGTGGCACGGGAAAGGTAAGAGGAAATTGTACTAGGACTGGGTTGGGGAAGAAAGAAGAACTGATCATTGGGAAGATAAATTGTTGTCTTAAGAGCTTCAACCATGTTAGATGACCACCATGATAATTCAGCCATTCATACTAGGACCAGAACCTATCAGAAAGATTGAATGCCTTACAAAAGGTAGGAAAAAGAGGGAGCCAAGAAATGGTTAATCCCTTTCCTAAGGAAGACCCATCCATTACAAGAAATATTGCAAAAACACTAGCCACGAGAACTCTAGGAGCCAAAACTGATTTTGATGGCCTCAGTAGTTAATGTTCAAAGGGTGTCTTGCTAACCTGTGGAAGGAAGAAGCGACATTTAGGAAACGCAGGCTAATTGTTGAGGACATTCAGGGCCCCAACTTCCTAACTCTGATGACCAGGGACTGTGTGTTCCATAATCAAAGAATGGCTGGGTGTGATTGAAGCTCATGATGTCCAGATTACTGATATTATTTGCATTGCTTGTTCTGTGTTGCTTTCACTAATTATGTAGGGGAGACTGTCATGCTCTGTGCTTGTAGGGTCAGTTCAGTCTGGAAGGAGAGGAGAGAAATCATGTCTAGAATGGTACAGAGAAACTGCTTCAAAGAAGTGATTCATAAATTGATTCCAGACAGTACTGAAAAGATGTAGAAAAGGAGTGCCAATCTCTTTTATGCTCTTTATGGTGCGTCTTCATTAGAAAAGTGAAAAATGCTGAAGAAGCCCAAGTTTGCTTTGGGAGCTTATGGGGCTTTGAGGTAAGGTAGTGGTTCTGGAATAGCTGCTGGCAGTGAGACAAAGGCTGAAGTTGTGAGCGGTTCTCTTCGGGTCACCAGTCCACCAGCCTGTGTGACATTCATGTTTCATCAGTTGCAGAAAGCCCTAAGTGTGGGGAAAAACGGTGTTACTCCCAGTTCTCTAGTGTACCACTACCCAGAGACAGCCCCTAGGAACTTTTCCAGTGTTAAATTCTTACTACAATAATGCAAATAATGAGCATAGATACTTATTTCTTGACTCATTATTTCTAAACAGTTTTATTTACTCCCCTCCTTAAAGGGGAAGTAAATAAAACTTCATCTTCTTCACCTTAAATTGTTGGAGCTCCTTTTTTTTTAATAGAGAAAATATTTCTAACATTTATGTTATATTCTGTAAGTATAATAAAGTCTTTATTCTTTATAATAAATGTCTATAAGTAGAAAAGTTAAAAATATTTCTTATGATTATATAAAAATTACTTAAATAAATCATTAATTAGATTCAATTCATAAAAAATGTATAATCTTATGCCAGTAAAAGCTTACTTCTGAAAGAAATTCCCAATGAAGGAAACAGAAATAGTTTGTTCTTAAATGTATTTTCTTTCTTCTGACTTTATCCTCAGCCACTTTTTCTTGAGTCCCATGTGAACCTTTTTTCTTTACTAGTAATTTTTAATTTACTATTTTATTATGTTGGATTACACTTGTATTTTTTCATATTTTCACTTACATGTCCAAAATTATTTTTAAATATTTTTCTCCCATAACTAATAGCTTGACTCACAAGAATCATTTTCTTTGCTAGAACTTGAAGACATTGCCCTGTGTGCCATTAGAGGTTCTGTTAGAAGTTCAATTTTACGTTTGCTCTGACTTTTTTCTCTTTTTGGAGGCTTTTTGGATTTTCTCTTTTATCTTTGGAGTTCTGAAATTTCATCAGGATATGTCTAGGTGTGATTTTTTTTTAAGTCATTTTAAGGGGTGGGGGACATAGCTCGGTAGAATAAGCACTTGCCTGGCAAGTGCAAGGGGTTGAGTTCAATACCTGGTTCTGCCAGGAGGGGAAAAAAGTCATTTCATATAGCACTAGGGGTTTATGACCTAAAGAATTCCATGTTTCTTCCACTACTATTTCTCTCCCTGTTTTTAAACAGATTTTTGAATTTCTGAATTTAGTCTCTCTTTCAGTTTCTCGGAACTTTCAACTTCTTGCTCTTTGCAGTGAGAATCCTTTACCCTGGTTTTCCAGGTTAACAACTTAGTTTTTGGTTGTGATCATCCTGCTCTTCAGCTTACCTACTAAACCTTTTAAAAATTTTTGGTCTTCAAGAATTATGATTGCTTTTTTTACACAGCAACTGTTTTATTTTTTTAAAAAATAAAAAGATAGGGGCCAGGGAGATGGCTCAGTAGAATAAGCACTTGCCTGGCAAGCACAAGGGCCTGAGTTCAATCCCTGGTTCCGCCAAAAAAATAAATAAAATAAATAAATAAATAAATAAATAAATGTCTTTTATTTATTTATTTATTTATTTAGAGACAAGATCTCCTTAGGGAGTTCAGTCTGGCCTTGAGTTCACTATGTAACCCAGGGTGGCCTCAAATTCATGGCTTCAGCCTCCCCCGTGCTAGGATTGTAGGCATCCACCACTCTGTCCAGCTTTGAATATCTTTACTTTAAAATTTTGTTTTTTGTGTTAGTTCTGCTTCCTTGAGTTTCATTTTTTTTATTTTTGAAAAAATAAAATTTAATTAAAAAATGAGAAAATATAATATACTATATGCTATTCTGAAAAGTAGTTACTCAAGATATAAACAAGATATAAATAAAAATGCCCTCGTTTAAGTAAGACAAAAAAAAGACAATGGCACAAAATTCTTTTTAATGAACTAAGAGGAACTAGTAGTACTATGTAAATGAAACAAATTAGCATTATATTAAAATACTTTGAAACAATAGAATAGGTAATTTGTGGCATTAATTGAACTTTTAACTTCATATATTCTGTTTTGTGCTTCATTTGTATCTCTATATCTATCTATCTCTCTATCTCTCTATCTCTCTATCTCTCTATCTCTCTATCTATCTATCTATCATCTATCTACTTTCCACACCCCAGTATCTGGTGATTTTAGTTATGTTTGCATGTGAGAAGATGAAGGTCTAAGCTGAAGAGTACCAATAACTAAAAGGGATTGTTCTCAACACAGCCTCTTGATTTTTAAAACCAACAATGAAGTTAAACCCCAATTACTAAAGCCTGGGTGTGGTGACCATATGTGTTGCCCAGCTCCATGGGTGGCCTGTAGTTTACATCTCCTGTCTGTGCTGCTGATTGGTGAGGTGAATGTCGGTTACCTTGGGCTCTTAACCTGGAAAGCATAGCTCTTTCCTTATTGCAGACAGATGAGGGAAAGAGTCTATGAGGCTTCCTGCCTTCACCGCATCAAACATGAATGAATTTTAGACTCTTGTTTACTTTGAAGAATGAAAAGTACAATGGAAAGAACCACCAACAGGCTGGATTGCTCTATATTAGAAAGACATTGAGTCTTGGGAGAAAAGACTTTGAAAGCAGGAGGATGAGAGAAGAGTTGTTATCAGAGTCAATGAGATGTGTTAACAGCATGTTTTGAGGAGTTTGGCAAAAGATATCAAGATTTGGGAGTGTTTGCCTTGACATTTAGGGGACACAGTGGATTCCTTTTGACATATTTTAAAGGAAACTTTAATATAGATTTAAATGGCTTTTTGAGCCAGTGTTCTGGAAGTGACTTGATTTTGAAACAGCTTACTTTAGAGAAATAGCCTCTGTCTCTCTTTCCATTATAGTCTCTTTGGAGGCAGGAGGTAGCTCGTATGCTCTCCAGGATAATAGCATCCTAGCAAGATTACAGTGTTGATCTAAGTCCAACTCAGTATGAAGAGGCCCAAGCACAGATGCTAGACCTTGCTGTGTCGTATAGGTAGCCTAGTCATAGGACACCTCCACCATATTGACTCCTCCATATTATTAAGAGAGAAGAAAAGTTGTCTTAATTGATGAAAATGTATAACTCATTATTATATTCAAAATGAGGGATATACTGACATGCAAGCTTTCTAAATTCAAATAAAATAAAAATTGCACTTTGCTTAGACAATAGACTAGCTGTTCCCTCTCACGAGCGCTGTGTCATGCATTGTCTGAGTGCAGAGTGTCAGACACCTGCACCTCACAACTATATAGAACGGTCGTCAGGTGTATCAGCATGGAGCTGTTGTGTGAACAAATCTATGCTCCTGAAAGACTCAACTCTACAGAGCAAGCTTCACCAGGAGCAGTGCCTGGGACATCCTGAGCAGCCAGCAAATATCTGTTGTATGGTTGACTGGGGAGCCTTAGCGTGGAGCTATCTCTTCGGTTAGAGAAGCAGTAACGCATGGGAAAGACTCTAGTTGACACTGTTATTTTATTATTTCACTCTTTGTGTGTGCTTCTTATAGACTGCTTCCCCACATCGCTGCTTTCCTTGCACATCTCCAGGTTGGGCTCAGTCTGTGTGAGTTCTCAGTGCTGCACAGTGGGGTGGATATCATCTTTTTGGGAACTATTATATACAATAGTTATGTGAAATACTGACTGTGCAGCATTCATTGCAGTTTGGGGCTCAGCACAGGAAAAGCAGTAAAACTGACCAGAGGGAAGAACTGAGTAACATAGTTTGTTCTAAATCAAACTAAGTGAAAATTTCTCTATCAACTTCTTTTATTAGAATTTAAAGCTGGAAACACACCTTATCCTATGCTTCTCTTTATTTCTTATAGAAATTGCATGACATTTTGGAAAAAAACAAACAAGATGCTATCAAAGAACTAGGTAAGTTGTTGGAGTGTCTGGTTTCCTGAAATCATACCTTATGTTTCCATAAATTAACTGAAGAAAGGTAAGTTCATGCACTCAGGCATTCATCCCATTCGTTCCATTCACTTCAGTCATCATTCATTCAAGAATGGTGAAGAACGGGAAATAAAATATGGGTAGATCTGAAAACTGAAAAAAGTGGAGTCCTGGGAGGTGCATAACCATGTCCTGAGGGAACAGAGAGCATTAAGAGAGTCCTCTTTGGGAAGAAGGAATAGAGGACCGTGGGAGTGTGTTATGTAGCAATACTGGAGTTCTTAAAGTTAAAAGAAAAAGACATTTGAAAGTTGCCTTTGAGAAAATGTTTTTGTAAGGAGATTCTAGGGTAGGGCCACAAGGGATGCTGTTTCTTGCATAGCTATTGTCCCTGCACTTTGCTTGATGCACACAAAAGGAGCCTAAGGATTTTATGCTAAGTGTATTAGGTCTGCCTTCTTCCGAGGAGACTGTGGTCAGGCCCTCGGTGGGTGCTAAAGCATCTGGCATATGATAAGGTCTTAAAAATGGGACTGGAAGAAAATAAGACTATTTTGTGCTCATAAGCACATTGTAAGATGTCACATGGATTTTTAGGGGCCAATTTTCCAAATCTAAATGGAAAGAATACTATCTAATAAGTGAGATTTTAAGTTTGGAGAAAATAGGTCAGAATATTTTGGCACTATTTCTGAAAATCCAGGACTCATTGTCACTTTTCGTGTATTGGCAGCTCTGTTCATTTCTGTGATTTTACAGAAGAGAGGCCTAAGAACTGCCACATTGTGTTTTAGATCAGTATAGAATATGACACAATTTTCTTGATTTAGTCCTGTAAAGAGTGCCTGTTTCCGTATGATTATTACAACTGATTACTGAATGTTTTTTTAAGTGAGGCATTGCAAAGTATGTCTTATGCATTACCTCATTTAATCTTAGCAATTAATTTGCCTGAGGCCACATGGCCAGTGAGTGGTGAGTCAACCCTCCAGCCTTGGTGTGTCTGACACTAAAAATCTATGCTCTTGATCATACCCTTTCATTTCATTGTGTGACAACTTTCTATATGCCAGGCATTGTGCCCAGTGCTTCCGCAGATGCAATAGATGATGTTTGAACTTTGAATCAGTCTAGTCCATAATTTTTTGTATTTAGTAAAATAGAAAGAATAGATGACTTGATCTCAGAAAGATCCACCAGTCAAAATCCAGGGGCTCTTTCATTCTTTTATTTAGTCATTTGTTTGTCCAACCAACAAAGAATATGTAATACAGAAGATGTGCAGATAAATAAAAATAGTACTACTATGATGAATTTCACCTTAGAAATATGTAGGAGACACCATGGTAGTATGGTAGAGAAACTGATTTTTCTATTAGCTGATGGGGGAAGCTAGTTTTAAATTTTCTTGTCTATATAATGCAGATGAAAATAACTTGCATCCAAGCAACCTCACCACTTCTGTGCGAAAATAGAATGAAAATGTATTGTATAAATGCTTTGGAAAATACACACTATCATACAAACATTGGTTATCATTGCTGTTATTGCATAAGTTGTTTACTAAGTTTAATTTTCCTCAGGATTCATAGAGCATGAGAATCGTGATGTGGTCATTGCTTTAAAGACCAAACAGGCGGTCCGGAGAATATTTGCTAAAGCCCAGAAACGTCTCACCTTCCTTTGGTCAAGAGGCATTATGGACAGACACGAGGCCATCAGCATGAATAACGTAAGAAGGGAATTTTCATGTTGCTTGCTTCCATCAGCCCAACACTCCAGCTCCACTGTTACTTCCACAGGGGTGTGAGGGAAGTGGAATGGACAAGGTGTTTAATTGCAGTTGTAACCTCTGCAATAGCCTGCAGCCTCTGCTAATGCCAAGGACAACCAAAGCCAGTGCTGTCTGCTAGATCCAAAACTACTTGGCTGCACGTTTAACAAAGTTGGAGTTAGGTTTATAAAGAAATAGGACTGGGGGCTTATTGAAAGAACACAGAGTATATTACAGAACCTACAATAGTCACACGGTCAGGCTTTAGGATGGAACTTGAACAAAGTTTTCCATGTCCTGTGGAGAAAGAGTCTTCATTTCTAGTCAGACTTGTTCTCAGTGGTATCTTCCCTTGGTTCTCTCTCTGTAGACTCATTAGATTTTTCTTCTTTTCCATCCACTAAGAGAATGTATATTACTTCGTCCACTGACTGTGGAGGTGGGAATTGTATTTACATGGCTGGGAGGGGGGGATCAACCTGTGTATGTGTATATGTGCACATGTGCACATGCATGTGTGTGTGTGTGTGTGTGTGTGTGTGTGTGTATGATTGAGATTTAGGCAGGGCAGTTCTGAGAGGAGAGGCTCAGGGAAGATTGCCTAATCAGTTGGCCAATAAAAGGGCTTCTGAGAAGTTATAAATAAACTTCAGAAGAATATATGACAAAGGGAGAAAAGCCACACTGAGTCCTGCCACTCTACTGTGCCCTCCATCTAGACTGCATTTATGCATAACAAGAGTGTTCTTTCCATTCCGTTGTATAGACCTGCTTGCTAGCATATGTCGGGAAGATGGAAGCTCTGGTTCCACCCTCTGTCTGTGTTGTCCAGTGACACACTCTTCTTGATGTCACTGTAGCTTTGAGCCTTGGGCCACAATGCACTGTGCTTCTGTTTATTTTCTGGGCTTTCCCCCTTATTTCTGTCTCAGAAGAGAAATGCTTTCTCTTCTCACCAGAGAAGTACTTTCTGTGGTGCTCAATCTTATCACAAAATAGACAATATGAATGTGCCTTAATCTCTGTCTCAGGGAAGAAAAGAAAGGGCTAGAGTTTCTCAAGTTACTTCTCTAAAACTTTATTTTTTCTCCTATAAGCTTATTTAGAAAAATGATAGGGACAGGGAATATGGTTCTAAGGCATAAGTACCTGCCTGGCAAGTGCAAGGTCCTGAGTTTGATCCCCAGCACCAAAAAGAAAAAAAAGTAATGGATAAATCAATAACTGATTACTCATTAAAATAACCAGAATTGCCTAATTGTGAGCAAAAGGGATATAATTATCTATCCCAGGCTATAAAGAGACAGACAAGTTTATTTAAGTCAGTGGAGAAAATATATGTGGGAAACACAGAGTGCCTTGAATTCTCCATTTTGGAAGGCTTAAAGACAGCAGCACGGAACCCAAGCCCTTGCACTTTCCCTTGTTTTCAGGGAGCCATTTTCACATCCAACCAATAACAGCCAGGCAGCGTGAAGGGTGGTGCAGGTTAAGTCAGAACAACTCTACGGTGTAGTGAGTTCCATACTGGAGATGCGTAGGCGAGGCTAGGGAATAAGGGAAGTAAAAGGGTTTTCTCCTTCCTTATGAGAGAAGCTAGAGAAGAATTCTCAGAGGCCAGAGGCTGGAACTGTATCCTTCTAAATCAGAAGGATTTACCGAAGCAAATCATACACAGGAAAGAAGATTGTAGAGAACATGGTTGTAGGTTGTATGGTAATCAGTATAAAATTTGGAAAACTGAAGCTTGAGCCAAGGTAAGATGCAGCATTAGCTGTCTTGTAAAGATAACAGATTTGATCTAAGTAAACAAATCAGTGAATATAGAAAATGCAAGAGAATAGAGACAAAAAGAGGATAATTTATACAGGGTCTGAGAAGCTTCAAGTCAACTCAAAGTTAAATTTGTAAAATAGTAGTTGATTAAATTTCCTTATTTTCTATCCAGTGTCCATTTCCTGTTATAGGACCTGATCACCTTCTTCTTGATTGTTTGCTTTCAGGTATTTCTTAGCAAAATAAAAGCCTTGAATAATTTTCCAATGGTAGCCCCACCTCCAACTCCTGGCCAGTACCTCTCTAACATTATTTGGCTGGAAAATAAAGATGTTCTCATTGAGTTCTTCAAGGTAGGATCCTGTTTTCTGTCCTGGCTCAGATATGGTGTACACTCCCTTCCATTTATCCCCCCACTGCCTAATGCAAGATTAGCAGAAAAGCATAGTCAAAGCACAAATTCTGAATTGAACAATTCAGTGAAAATCAAAATGAGGCCCAGCAAAACCCGAAGGAAGAGCACATTTCTTTCTGAAACAGAAGGGGAATAGTTGCTTACAATAGTTTTTCTGCTGAGAAAGCTGTTTCTTGACTATCATCAAACCCATCCTATTTTATGTTATATAGAGTACTGGACTTCCGGATACATACTCTGAAAGAAGTATGTACACTATATTTTATAGTGACGGTCTGGCATTTGAATTACTGAACAGTCCGGGCAGATAATAGAAAAGTAAAACCAAGTGGGGAACAGTGAGGATTGTGGTGCATTCAAGAGTTCATGCTCTGTCCAATGTTAGCTGAGTTTTGCTGTAGGAATCTGGCCCTTTCCAACAAATATCTATCAAGTGTCCTCTTATGTATCAGAGATGTTGTAGGTTTAGCATGTTCTGGTAAACAGATGAAAGTCCCCAGTGTAATAGGCTTTATGCTACATGGATAGAGATGTATGACAAGCCAATACATAAATGTAGTGTGTCAGGGTGATAAGTGCTATGGAAAAAAATAAGGTGAGAAAAACAAATATGATGAAGCAACCACTTACATAAGTGGTCAGAGAGGGGTGCTCTAATAAGGTGACATTTGAAGATATTTGAAAGACTAAGGAAGAAAGTCATGTAGGTGTCTTGTAGAGAAGCATTCCAAAGGGGAGAGCCAGGGCACAGACCCCGAGGAAGAGGTGCCTGGTGTGTTTAAAGAGGACCACAGAGGTCCTCGTGACAGAGGGAGTGATAGTGATGGATTCAGCAGTTGCAGAAAGCTTAACTATGTAACATGTTGTGGGACACTTATGGACTTTGGTGTTTACTCTGAGCTGAATAGGCTGTGAGAGGTTGAGGGCAAGAGACTAATTAGCAGACAGCTACAAGGGATGGACGTGATCATGGTGAGCTGGACTAGTGAGAGTAAGGAGAAGTAACCAGACGAGGCATAGTTTGAAGACTGAGAGAAGAGAGAAGTGAAAAGAGAGAGAGAGAGAGAGAGAGAGAGAGAGAGAGAGAGAGAGAGAGAGA